GGGGGAGGGGGGGGGAAAAAGGGAGGGGGGGGGGGGGGGGGGGGGGTGTACTCATAGTCGTGCATGCCGTAGTCGTTTGACCGTTGACCTCGCATCCCTACAAAGCCGGGACGGAGCACGCCGGGTTCTCACCGGACCAGGCTCTCACATCACCAAGCGCGAAGCGCCGTGAGGTATTTGGCGAGTCGCATGAAGGGTGAGCTGCATCCTGCTAAGGGTGTTCGGCATCTTGTGCTTACTTCCTTGCGTACGGATGACAGCTACGTATGACTTAATTTATTTTCTGGTGCTTTCACTTCCAGAGACAGTTGTAAGCACTGTGTAACTGCCTCGAGGAAGCTTGACCATTTTAACACAACGTGGTGCGATCATCCCCCGTTGCGCGGAGTGAGGTTTCTCGACCCCGCACAACATGGTCTACTCGACCACCATTATGGTTACCGCCAAAAAAAAAAATCGAGGTAAAAAAAAAAAAAAAAACGGTAACCTGGTTGCCGAGTTCACGAAGTGAATTGGCTTGTTTTACAACGTCGTTGCCAAGCGACGAAAACCCAATCCCGATGGCGAACACCGAGTGGGGGGCTTGTTTTACAACGTCGTTGCCAAGCGACGAAAACCCAACCCCGACGGCAAACACCGAGGGGGGCGGGGGGGACGGGGGGGTAAACAAGCATCACAGATGGAACAAGCAGGCGTCTTAAGTAAGCCGATAAATCACCATGCATTGTTTGATTGCTTTGCCGTTCGCGGCTGGTCGGGTTGGGGCACCAATTCTCTACATCTGGTAACCCGGCATAAAACGTGTGTGCAACCAGGCGCCCGGAAACCACGAAACACGCGCGCCACATAGAGCACGCAAAGACAGGAAACGAATGACGGGATCTTGAGCCACAGCAAAAACTTTAGTCCACTCTGACTCACTCTCTGCGATTCCAAGTCGCGCTTGTTCCCGGCGACCGCGATCGCGATGTCCTGCGGCCCCTGTGCCTGCAGCTCGTTTATCCACTCTTTCAAGGTACGGAAGGAGTGCATCTTTGTGATGTCGTACACCACGATAGCGGCGCCCGCCCCTCGGTAGTACATCGGGGCCAGGCTGTGGTACTTCTCCTGCCCCGCGGTGTCCCAGATCTACGCAGCGTCGCGGAGGCCGTAGGCAGGGGGATGGGTGGGGGGGGAGCGTACTCTTGTATTTTGCATGCCTGAGGTGATACGCCAGTGACCACGCATCCTCGAGAGGACGGAGCATTGTTCCCACACCACAGGGTCCGATCACCGACGGTCAATCGTTCCTGCCTACTTTGCCAAAGGTGGCTCAATTTTTTCCCCCTAGTCTATCAATAATATCGATATCGCTTCCCGCCTTCTCAACACCTATGCCCCTGTACAGCTACCGTCTTCTCCTGGCTATTCCATGCCTCAAACATCTCCCTGTAGCTTCCTTCCTTCTACCTTTCCCGCCGGACAGGGGGGGGGAGAACTTCCTCACCTGAAATTTCATCGGCGAGCCGTCCACCATGATCATCTTCGACATGAAGGAAGCCCTGTTGCGTCGTAAGACAAAACGAAACGTACACGACAACACGATGGGCTTGACACGACGCGATGGGCTTGAAACTAAACAGCGCAGCGAGCAACAGCAGGGTGCACTCTTGTCTGTTTCTATAGCGGGCGCATACGCCCATGAGCCTGTGGATACGTCGGTCGTCTGTTGCGTGGTGGAATAGTGCACGGCATACGATATCACGGAGCGGGATTGCCAACGCTGGTAGCCTAGGAACACAGCAGCAAACGCGACACCAACAACAACACGTGCAGACCCAGGGGGTCCGGGCCGAGAAGGGTCCCCGGGAAATTCCGTAGTCAACAACTGTTATTCCCTTTCGATATCACACAGAATACTTACATGGTTACCCAGGCTACAATTCCGTAGTCAGCAACTGTTGTTCCCTTTCGATATCACACAGAATACTACGTCACTCACGGTTTATCGGCTAACAAGGCAATACTGAAATACTGCCATGAGCCATGCGCCAAAACATGCCGAAATGAAAACATGCCCCAAAACATCTGGATTAAATGAACACGACACCCGAGAGCAAATATATTTGTCTCACCCGATCGTGCTCTCGCTGTATGGCTTGAAGTTGTTGGTCACGAACCTATGCACCAGGCTGGACTTTCCCACTCCTGTTCGCCCAAGACAAGGCCAACATCCAAAGACATGGGCGGAAGGGCATGCACCGTGTTAGGCATCGTTGCCAAGAGAGGATGATGTTGTTGTTGTTGTTGTTGTTGGACTAAAACCGTTCCGGCATGCAGACGCAGCCGCATCAAACAGCATCCCAAACACAGCAACTTGAGGGCCTTCTTGCGACTCGCCCGGCACTTTCTACACCTACACCGGGACACCATTGTAGTCCCCCACCCCCTAACACCACTACCCCCCTCATCGAGGAAAGAATTGTCAAACTAATACGAGATGGCATCCCGCGAAAAAATGCTGACGTTGTGACTTTCGAACAGCTTCTGTCGTGAATATGAACACCTGCTGTCGGCAATCCTCCGCCCCTGTCGAGCAATGATAAGATGGTCCATAGTAGATACGTAGCACTATCACAGGTATGTAGCAAATGCTCGGATGGGCATGACAAATCAGCCATCCGCAGCAAGAAAAAAAAAACAGCGGTAGATACCTGCGCAAGGATTTGTGTGAAATTGAATCTGCATGGTATTCGCACCAAATGCGTCTTGTTTGGACAGGTTGGGGTGCGAGCCAAGATCGAAGTAAGCAGTACATGAGCAGAGAGCACAGGCCGGGCAAAGCCCCCTCAGAACAGCGGCTTGTTCAAGAACCAGGGGGGGTTGCGAAAGAATCAGGCGGGGTTTCGTCGTCAAACGCGTATTGGAACTTGGTCAGTCTGGTCCGTTTGATGCGGCAATGTCAGCCAAAGCCGTCAGTTTCTGGGTGATAAAAAACAGGAAGGGCAGCCGCAGAGGCACGTTGGGCTGCCGAGCGGTTCCGAAAGCGGGTCCGAACCGAGGCTTCGTAACCCAAGCACGGTGGTGTGTGAAAGGTATCGATCCTTGTGCTAAAATTTTCCCACACCCTTAACCCAAGCTCTCAAAATAGCAACGTGATGATAGTCATTTTGTCGAAGGAAGACCAGCTCTTACGCCACATATGATATAATGCTACTTGCTGTCGCCAAGCTCGCAGCCCTGTGTCAAGCACACGCCCCCCTATAACAGCATTAGCCATTAGCGGAGGCAGGTTTGAACGCGGTCCAACATTTGCTGCTGTAGACCAGGCATGTACCATACTTAGACAATGTACCTGTGGTCAGTTGGACCGATACGGACGCAAGCAGCCACCGGAATTTGGTGACTTATCTCAACATGTGGAGACGGCCTTGTGGAAATTGTTTATCGAGAATCAAGCGTGCAAACCAACCGGTCTTTTCGGTTCTTTGACGCCAAGATTTGGCCGTCGGAGTGGCATGTGGCGGAATAAATCGCGACGAGACCTTTGTAGTATGCGGAGGTTGCAATGCTGAAACGCAAACAAACATCAGGCGCCTCTGTTTCTCATAGGAAGGCTGCACAGTTTGCATGGCATGGCTTCGATGCAAAACAGACTTCGGGACGCCGACACCGGGACCTCCCCTTCAAAAAACACTTGCAAAACACCGGGCCGCATGCGCTGCTGCGCGTGCAAGCAGGAGCTTCAAAACATGGCGTACAATTACCAAGCAGTTGGCTGCTGTTTTTTAGAAAATATGTATGAACTCACAGAAAGACGCCCGTTCGAGATACATAAATCCGCAAGCAGTCTGTGATGAACAGGGTTGCGCCAGGTGGACATCTACCCACTAATATGGCGGGAAATACAGCAGTACGGAGGAGTACACCACAAGTTGTACTGCTGTACATGAGAAAAAATAATCTGTGTTTGTCTAAAAACCGGCATTCCATACCCTTACGGTAGTTCTCACTACCATCATGGCACGAAAATTGGAATATCTTGGCATATCTCACCACAACCACCCCTGCTGTTCCTCGGCACATGGATGCATATGCATATCTAGCAGGCGGAACAAATGCTAGGCTTGATGGGGGCCTCGGACACTCACTACTGCTGTATGTAAGTTGTATCATACGGGTGTCAAAGGAGACTGCCGCCGATGGAGGCTTCAAGCTTCAAACCGTTCTTGTTTACACGCTGTGGCGAGGTGATGAAGCACGCAGAAGCTGTGATGTGACACGTCATGATATGACGCGTGACGTGCTCGGCACCATTGTAAGAATTCATTCATAGGGTAAATATCAAAGAGGGCGACCGACCATGGTTGCCGCCGGAAAGGGGTCATGTATTATTGGGACCGGGTTTACGAAGGTGCAGCAGCAGCAGCAGCAGCAGCAGCAGCAGCAGCAGCAGCAGCAGCAGCGCGGAGCGCCAATTCAGGAGGGGCTCACCGGTATCTCCTAGAAGCACGACCTTCACTTCTCGTGATCTGGAGTCCATGGATCCCCGTCGACTCATCCTGCTGGAAATCTCTCTCGCTCGCTCGCTCGCTCTCGGCACCAATGGGGGAAGACTTTTTGGGTCCCTTGCTCTCTTTCCCGCTGCTGCTCCCGCCTGGAGAACCAAATAAAGGAGTGCTACAATTTTCGAAAACTGCGTTCGAATTCCTGAATAACCGCGTTGTCTGCCGAAGTCCCGAGAAACCTCTGTCAGTGCAGCGGTAGCAGGAGCAGGGATATAACCAGGACGATGGTAGTCCTTTGCGTCAGAGTTGTTGCTATCTCGTGCTGCGGTAGTGATGATGCCTGCGGCGGCAAGTGCGAGGAGTCCGCGGAAAGGATTTCAGAAAAATAAGGGTACCAATACATGCCCCAAAAGCATGCACGGAGCCCCAACTCCATGACTTCCACACCCTGCACTGCTCCGCTGTGCTGTTGCAGCTGCCCTCCACCCCACGCCGACAGCAGGCAACAGGAGGAAAGATAGCAACACTAGTTTGTCACAGGTTACTGCTGTGCTGAGTTCCGTTTTTTTCTGCGACGGTTTGCCATATAATAATATATCGTGGCGTGAGCTGAAGCTCGAGATCAGCCGCGGTTCCCTGAGAGCGAGAGAGGCGAAAGGAGAGAGAGAGCGGTCACGGCGGGCTTTGCGTGTATCGAGTGCGGGCATTATGAGCGCCCCAGCCAATCCGACCATGTCTCCTTTGGCGGGGGATGCCTTCCGGCTACCACATGTCGAGAAACAGCAGCAGCAACAGCATCAACACTTGGTGGAGTTCCAGGGCCGTACCCTTTGCGTCTCCGCGCACACCGCCTTCAGCAACGGCGACAACGGCAACAGCAGCAGGGCATCATCGGTGCTAGAGAGTGTCTTCGCCGCCCTCGGCGTGCCCAAGAGCGCGGTGGGAAGACTGCAGGAGCCATGGCGCCTCATGTGCGGCGGGAGGTTCTTAGCCCCCGACCAATACGTCCCTCCCCTGAGCGTGCTGAGGGTCTGGACGGGAGGGCTCAAGGGCGGGAAGGGAGGCTTCGGGGCGATGCTCCGCGCGATGGCCAAGCAGGTAAAGACATGCAACACGGTCGGCGTTCGTGGCATGAGTCCGTTCCTTTGTTTGTATTGGCAGTGGTCGTGTGTGTGCGGGATGGACGGGTTTACGCGGCATAGTGTGGAGCCGTTGTCAATGTTGTCCCGCCGTCGCTGCTAAGTCCGGCACCGGCAGCAACGTTGTAACCTAGCATACGATAGCGCCCTCGGTCGAGGGTACAGCAGTACTGCTGCACGCGGCTACCCCGACACAAACCGCCTGTGCTGCAGCAGTACTTGCACCAGCTCAGCAGCTGCGACGAGGCTGCCGCATGGCAGCTCGAATGGAACCGCGCTTCCGCCAACGTACTCATCGTTTTTCTATCTTGTGCTGTGGTCATTGTCTTCACACAACAACCGTTTCGATCTGTGCTCAGTAGAGTACCTTCTGGCGTCCGTGCTGGGTCCCAACTGACGCGGATGACTTTCGTGGTTACAGGCCAACTACCAACAAGGGTGGCATTGAGATCAAACCTAAAAGAAAAGTAAAGCACCCAGAAAAACCACAGAGATAGTAGATCATGTCCCCGGCGATGCACAGAGGTGGCATCGGTGGATCTGTAGATACATCGCCCGCGTTCTTGGCCGCACGAACCCGTCAACAAACCGCCAACCGAAACCAGTCTCATGACCAACGGACACTCCAAAACGCCCAAGAATGGGCGGAAAGCGAATCATAACTCAAACTCCTGGCCTAGTTACAAAAAACACGCCTTGTTCTTCTTCGCACAGGCGGGTGCCAAGCCCACGACGGACTTCGGGGCTTGCCGGGACCTGCAGGGCCGCCGCCTACGCCACGTTAACGACGAGGTTCGCCTTCAGAAGTGGCAAGAGAACAGGTGTGCTTCTGTTTCTGTTGTTTATGCCGTCATTACCGTCTCCCCTTTTCCTGTCGCCAAACAACACCCGCGGAGGTGGGGGTGGAGGAACTGACCGGGGAAAGAGATACATCCTACGCCAGAGTAAGGGGAGCGTGTGCATTGTTGGCATCGACCGCGCTGACCGGCCGGCCAATGGAAAGACGTCAGCCTTAGTGATGCTACAAAGATAAAAACGCTTTCTCTACAGTATGTATGTTTTGAATTGGCATCGACCGGCTGACCAATGAAAAGAGGTGGGTCTTGTAGTGCATCCCCTCCTCCTGTAGTCAAGCACCCAATCCCACCCGCTCCGTAGGAGGCACCATCTCTTGTATGCAGACCAGTGGTAGTTTTAGCAGGTGGTGTTGTGTTGAGATCGTGTCGTCGTTCCTCTCCCCCCGTCTCCACCTGCCAAACTCCACCGCCAAAAAAAAAAAGGGAGAGGGAGAGTCGGGGCGAGAAGGTGGAAGAGGAAAAGACCCAGTCGGGGATCGAAAACTGGCACCTCGGCGTGCCCACCTGGGCGGAGGGCGCCAAGCCTTCCTACATGAAGACCCGTCGGAAGACCGTTATCTGCCAGCAGTGGCTAGACGCTCGCAAGGACAGAAAGGCCCCGCAGGGGGCCCCGCCGTGGTGGGGCTGCCCCAGGGGGAGGGGGTGCGACTTCGCCCACGGGAAGGTGGGTTGAGCGAGAGCTGCGCGGGTTGAAACAAAATTTCTGCCTGAAACATGAATTTTCTGCCGTCGACTAAAAGTGTCGTCCGCCAGCGGGGTGCTGGGCATCGAAGGACAGTTGCCCGTTTCCCTTCAATTTCCCGATCACGCAGCCTTGTGGTGTTGTCGCAAGGGCGAGCAACATCTTGCGCGAAGAGAAGGGAAGGGGATGGGTAGAGATAAGAACAGGGAGAGCAGATGAAAGTTGAGCGGAGTCAGACAGCAGTCATGGACGGCGTGCACGCTGCACGTGTTGTAGAGAACCCCACATTATAGCGACGCACGCTGTTATGGGTGTTGTAGAGAACCCCACACAACAGCCGTCCTGTATTATGCATGTCGAAATCTCGTTTAACTGCTGTGACGAGTCGTTGGTAGGGCCATCCCGGGACCGATGGGGTGTTGTACGCATGGTGAAGCAGGGTGCAGGGAGACAAAGCGCATTCGAGGCTGTTTTGTCGGGACATTGATGCTCGTGTTTGGTCGCCGCTCATAGACGCTCATGTGCGATAGCAAGGCTTCCTTGATCAGTGGGCGGTGTCCTTACGTTGCACCCCAAAACCGTATTTTGCTGCGCCTGTTGCGGATGTGACAGGAGGAGCTACGGGGGAAGGGCTTAGAAGAGTTCAACCAAAAGGACAGGAAAGAAAAGCGGGAGAAGAAGCAGTTCGACCTTGACAAGTGAGCCAATTGGGGGGGGGTTGTCCGTCGGCTTGACCGTTCGCTAAGGGATACCCTGCTTTCCCACTCACCCACATCTCTACCCTCGTCGATAGGGCAGAGCAGGGGATGGCAGGGGCGTGCTCGAACGTTGCTTTGTTGCTGACTGATGATGGATGCTAGTGTATGGTATGGGTACTAGTGTATGGTAGTCATGCACCCCTTTCGTGACGGAATGTGGAGTCACGCTAAATAGTGTTCCAACAGCCGATCACCTTTATCTAGTGCTCGGCCGTATTATGCCGATTCCCGACGGGTGTTCCGTAGCCGGATGTAGGAATTATATGACACGTGCGAATGGGAGAGAGAATGGGTGATGTATGCAGAGACAGAAATGCACACCACCGTAAGGGAAGCTGTGCAAGGGCGGTTGGCAGATCCACGCCGAAACAGTCCGCCTGTGTTTCGTGTGATCGGCATGGCAGAATCGGCGCCGTACCTACCCCCACGCCCGAGTCCGTTTGTCTTTGGAAGAACGATGCGGTCACCTTGACGTGGCGCTTTTTCTCCATCACTCCTGCTAGCTTAGCTTCTCACACTTGTGTGGTGACACCGGGATGATGTAACGTTGTGCCTGGAGAGAGCTCGTCTCGCCGAGCGGGGACACAGCAGTAAGTGGTGCATTTTCCATATCTTAACCCTTCCTTGACGAAGACTAGGGAATACTCAAAACAAAGCTGCTGCTGTAGCTGCTGCTGCTGCCTTCTTCATTGTCCTTGACTTGCTTGCTTTCCCCGAACACAATTGTTGGAAGGTACCTGGAGAGCTCGTCCGCGGAGCCGATGACCCAAGCTATGCCCTCGGCCGTTGAGCAGGGGCTCAAGGCTGCCGCCCGGGCGGGCGCGAAGAAGGCGGCTGACCACGCCGAGGATGCCAAGGGGCTTCTGAGGATGGACCTACAGGGAGGCCAGGTGCGCGATTTTCGTGCAGGTATCGGTATACCCGCAACCCTTGTGGGTTAAGCACCGGGAGGAAGCTCGTTGCAGGGAGCAGATGCAAGGGAGAGGGTGGGGGGGGGGGGGGGGGCGAAGGGAGGGGCAGTATCCGAGGGCGTTTTGTGTCTCGTAGTGTGTGACGCAAGCGTGGTGCGATCACCAGTTCAGGAGCGGCCCAACCCCTTTTTTCGCGTCAATGTTTTCTGTTGAACCACAAAGAAGTTCTATTTACCACGTCGCTACATAGTGCATACATACGACACACTGCTACTATGACAGGTTGCATGTTTCGTCATGACGTTTCTTATGTCGGGTCGACCACGGCTCGCGTGTTTTGACCGTACACCAGTTGACACATAATTTTGTTACGATTCGCGTTGGTGGCGGTTTCAGGCGGGCGAGAAGAAGTCATCGTCCCCGGGGTGTTCCTGGATGGAGGTGGCTGGTGGCGACGTCGAGCTGACGGAGGAGGGCCAGGCGCAAGGGGCCAGCGAGTTCGGGACGGCTAGGGTGGTGGGGGTGGCGCTTAGAAAGAAGACCTGGTATTTCGAGGTACGCTCTCTTGTCCTTCTTGTGTTTTCCTGCGCTCTCTCTGTTTCTTGGGTGGGTGTGGGGGTGCTCAATGTCGTGCATGCCGTAGCCGTTAGACCATTGACCTCGCATCTTTACAATGCCGGGACGGAGCGATATGCCGGTTTTTCGCCGGCCCGGGCTATTACGTTTCACAGGGGATGAATAACCAGAAGCTGGCCATCATCCTTGCCTTTGCTGTGCCGAACCTTGCTTGGGGAGGGTGGGGGTGGATTCACGGCATGCTGGCAGTTTGCCATGCCTCCACCAGATGTGCGGCTCGCCACGAAACCCCCGGAACAAGATAGAAAGGAAATCGAACCGCTCACCGACGCACGCACTTGCTTGACGGATCAACCCACAAACCCCACCCTAAACGGAACGGAGCAGGTGGCCCTGCTGACGGCGGGGTTGATGCAGATCGGGTGGGCGGACCACACGTTCGTGGCCGGTGGACCGGAGTCAGGGGACGGAATCGGTGACGTGTCCGGGTCCTGGGCGTACGACGGGGTGCGACAGCAGCGCTGGAACGAGGGGCAGAGCGACTACGGGGAGGCTTGGAAGGTAGCTAGGAGGGGGGGGGGGGGGGTACTCCTTGGTTTTTTGGCTTGGTTGACCGATGGCCACGGATCAGCATCGATCGAGACAGAGCAGTATCCCCAGGCGACGGGCACCTCCAGCATTGTTGAAACAACAAGGCAGAGATCGGAACGGAATTGATGTGAAGACAACAGCAACAACAATGCAGAGATCGGAACGTTTTTTTTCGTTGTTGTGAAGAAAACAATAGCAACAACATTTACAGCGCAGAGATCGGAGCGATAATTGATGCGAAGCCAACGACAGAAAACAAGTCCTAATTCCACCAATCGATTACGCGCGTGTTGTGTCGATCCTTGCGTGCATGTGTGTGACTGAATCGGTCGCGACAGGTGGGAGATATCGTCGGCTGCCTGCTAGAGATAGACCAGGCCTCTCAGACAGCCTCCATGAGGTTCAGCCTGAACGGGCAGGACATGGGGGTCGCCTTTGACGGGGTGAAGCTCGCACCTGCTGCGGCGGAGCCCGGTAGCAGCAGTCTAGGTCTCAAGGTAAGGTTAAGCGCGGTTGTTGTCTGGGGGACAGGGGAGCGTCACGGCGGGCTTGTGCGCAGCATGGGTTTTTGGCGACGGTGGCGGGGCGGGGGAGGCGTACTCATGTTGTGCATGCCTTAGTTGTTAGACCATTGACCACGCGTCCTCGAGAGGGTTACAGTACCGATTTATGAAGGGATCTCCACACAAGAGATGTATCTGGTAAAAGTATTTGATCCCATCCCCCCCCCCCGCGCCTTAACTATCTTCTATCCTCTCCCGTGATTTGTCCTTTTTTTTTGTCGCTAGGTGGAGCCCGGGTTCTTTCCAGCGCTATCTCTAGAAGAGGGAGAAGCCGTGATCGTCAATCTCGGCCAATCACCGTTCGCGCACCCACCTCCCGACGGTTTCAAGGCCGTCATCGCCGCTAGGTTAGGGGGAGGGGCGGTGTCCGTGGCGGCGCGGGGGCCACAAGCCAATGTTGGCAAGACAGCGGGGGGAGACGCGGAGGGGGAGGAGGGGGGGGGTCCCCGGGCGCCGGTGGACCTGGAGGAGTTTTCGTGTGCCACTGATCTGGCGGCTAGGTTTGGCCCGAATCGGCTCAAGGTGCGCGGATGTTGAGTGCGTTTGTTGTTGCATGTTTGTTGTCCAGGGTGGTGCTTCTACAACAGTGGCTTGTTGCAGCAGTAGTAGTTGGCCAGAAGTTGTGTCTAGCCTTTGACAAGTCGTTGCGTGTGTTACAGTGCTCTCTTGTATCGTGGTGTACTTGAAGACGTAGATGCAGATACAAGGGAATATCACAAGAAGGGAAAAGCCGTGATTAATCCCATCTATGATTTACCGGAGCTGAAACACGCAATTCTAGTAAAGGTATCAACTTCGGTCATCGTTTTTCTGTTTTTTGGTCTGTTGTTACTGTTTGGTTGCCGGCCCAACCTCTTATTTATTGATCTAGTGTCGCAGGTTTTTAGTCTCTTTCGTGCTTACGTTACGCCGTGCCACCTGCCTACACTTGTCGTGGTGCAGGAGGAGCTCATGTCGAAGGGGGTCAAGTGCGGAGGAACACACTACCAGCGGGCGGCGCGTCTATTCTCTCTCAAGAGACTGGCGCCCGAGGACTACCCGCAGGAGCTGTTCGCGAAGAAGGCCAAGAAATCGTCATGATCGTGTCATGATCACGCGTGATGCATACCGACATTTTCTTTTAAGGCAGTTGGCATGGCATAATGATCTAATGGCGTACGAACCCATGTGTCCTCAGTGGAGAAGGCCTTGAGTGAACCAATCATAATCTTGACTGGTCGAATAGTCTCATGGTGTACGTCCCGCATGTGTCCTCAGTCGAGAAAGCCTTGAGTGAACCAATCATAATCATGACTGGTCGAATAGTCTCATGGCGTACGTACCCGCATGTGTCCTCAGTGGAGAAGGCCTTGAGTGAACTAATCATAATCATGATAGGCGATAGGCGATAGGACGTGTTTCGTTATCCTGGTAGGGCTTCGTCATTCTGCCCTTTGGTCGTCAAGCGTACCGGGTGGTTGCTGGGTTGGTGTTTCCTTTGGGGGACACTCTCTGACCAAGAATCGCCTTCCTTGGTCATTAGTCATTGGTCATCGGTCATTGGTTGGTTTCTCGCACGGTGGGGTAGAAGTAGATCTGCGAGCTACAAATGCGATAGACGTGTGACGCGGGTCGAGGGGGCGTCATCGTCATCATCGACTCGTTGTCGTATCCGTCCATATAGTCCTAGACAATAGACTACGTAACCCGAGACAAGAGAGGAGAAGAGAAGAGAAGAGCTTTTGTAGGTAGCTGTTTGCGACCAAAATGTCGAACCGAACAAGTTGCCGCGGACGTGATGCGGGGGGGGGGCATCTGGTCGACGTAACATCTATCTCTTGTCCTCTTGGCCGTCTGACTGTCACCTGCCCGCATGGGATGTCTGCATATATATGTCGTACGAGCACCGTAAGAGCCTTGAAACGAAGTAGATGTCATGTGCTACGATGTGATACCGCAGTGTGTACACGGAGTGTGAGGCGAAGAAGAAAGAAGAGTTGAGTTTTACCAATGAGCGAAAATCGTGGGAGTCTAGAACAACTGCAACGCTATTGTTGCAGGATTATTGGCGTGTATTGCTCATGCCAAAGACAATGAAAAAAACATAAGAGGGAATTGTTGTTTGGGCCTCGTGTGTGGCGAAGACGGGATGAAGACGAAGAGAAATGACAAGCAGGGATGTTGTTGGAAGTGTCTCTATGTCTCAAGTCTTCAGTCTCGCCTCTCGAAGAGAAGAAACACTCACACACCCCGCTGCGGTGCGTGCATGCCTTCGTTGCATGCGAGGTTGTACCAGCACGATGAATTCGTCTTCAACCTGAGACGTTGGTTGTAATTCTTCTCAGTCGAGGATATAGCCACGAGCGAGAGCAAGGCAACAGCCGGCAGGCCTCGTTCAACGGACAACTATCAAGGTGGATGCATGCTTAGGCAACCTAAACGGCCAGATTTATTTGATCACGTTGGGTATTTTTTTCTTCTCTTATTTGATCATGCTGGGTATTTGTTTCTTCTCGTCCAGAGGGCGGCATCGAACGAACCAATCACATCTCCTATTGGTCGGCGCGCGCGGGGGTGTCACGAAAAAACTCTACTCTACAAACAAGACACACGAGAGACGCCGCCCCGCCGCCGTACGGCACACATACATGCCTCTCGAACAAGAGGGGGGAAAAGAAACAACACACGTTCGGAAGGACTAGCATGCACCTTATGTCAAAGACTGCACGCTAAGGTTGCATGTGCCTTCTCTATTTATCTATGAACACCCTTTTGCCCCCCCCCCCCCCCCCCCCCCCCC